GGAGCATATCTTCTCTCTCCTTGGCCAAATCTGGCTTTTACTTCACTCACTGAGTTCCACTGATTAATGGATGTGCAGTGACCTTGGTCGAAGTTTCTAGGTCATGGTCAGAATAAGCCTCTTTATTTAAATCTTTGTTCGGTGTATAATTTTTCCCCTTTATTTCCAGTAAATTCATATAACCGAGGATACAAGATAAGTTCGATATATATCTGTAAATTCGCAATATCCGTGAAGTCGCACTAAATGGCTTTTACTGTATTACACAAATGTTCCTCTTCAAAATAAACCATTTTAAATTACCTTACATTTTCATGTTCATTGTTGAAAGCGGTGCCTTTGAAATGGCCACTATCTCAATGATATCTAACTATTGATGTACCAGTATACAAATCTCATAGCACTGCCACCAATGTTTGATTATACTTCTAATTAATTTATTTACCGGGACAAAAACAGATGGACTCAAACTTAAACTGATCACATATATCTGAATTACTGCAGCAGGATTTGTTTCCATGGAAACAATAAATACCTACAATCATGACCGATCTTTTGGAAGCAACTTGCTTTATTAATTGAAACATAGATACACATGTTTTAACATGTACATGCACTTCTTACTTTAAGTAGGACAAGCACATAGTCAAGAGTCCCCCCACCCTCCATTGTCCTCGATTCAACTTGTTTTTGCCGTTGTTGAAATGATCTTTTGCTGTTCCTTTCGTAAGGAATCATTATACCACCACTGCGAAGGAGAGGGGGTATACTAATTTACTTTTGTATGTCAGTTTGTCCATCTGGCTGACTGCCTGTGTGTCTATACGTAGCAAATGTTTAGTTGCAGTTTTCTCAGCAACTATTCATTGAAGATGCTTGAAATTTAGCACAGTGTTTGCTAAGGCATGCCATATGTATGGTGGGTAACATTTGAGTTTAAATCTGATACAAACTTCCTGTTTATCCGTGAGTCTGTCCGTTCCATACATAAAAAATTTGGCTGAAGTGTTCCCAGCAGAGATAAGTGTCTTTTTATATACATTAAGAATGACAATCAAAATTCAGTATGTAATTTAAAGATTTTGTGATTTCGTTCTTTCTCATTAAGGCGCCGGGGTTAAAATAAATATTAGGGAAAGTACAAGTAGGTAGAAAGCATATAATAATACAAAAATAGGTCCAAAACACTGTCCGTAGGGGCTATGCCCCTGGGAGTGAACTCCCTATAAGCTTTTAAAATTAAATCAACAGAGAACCTCACTTTGATTCAAAGTGAGTGTAATATTATCTAAAGGACCCTCTCTTAACCAGTACAAAATGTTTTTTGGACATTGAGAAAAATATATTCTATAAAGGTGTTAATATTGAGCTTATTTATATGATTTTTACTATATGGGGCGTGACAATTTATCTTGGCTCATTAAAATGTTGAGAATACCTGAACTCTTTACAAATTGTGTAATATATGTGAATTTCTAATTTTAAGAAGTAAGATCTAAGGGCAGATCACTCTTACTGCAAAAAATACCATAGAATCAGAATTCTTTAGTGTGCAGTATAGAGACTGTTAAATTCTTAAGTATACATCGATATATGAAAGGAAAAATATAATTATCTGAAATAGTTTTCTGAGGGGTTAAAGTGAAGGTGGAGGCAATAAAATGTTACCACCCCTTCTCCAATATGTTAAAAAAGTGGGGAATGATTTATTGGTACATGTATTAATATTTTTTTGATAACTTATTTTTATCTAAAACTATTTGGAAACCTCCTTAAAAATATTTTCCAGAACATAAAGTATGTCATAAATGGAATACTGAGATGTCCTCATAAAATATGACTAAATCAAATAAAATATTTTTTATCTCAGAGAGAAAAAGATTTGGGCACATATATGTATGATTTCAACAACGACCATTTCAATATCCCCAATATCTGTATGTACATAAAAGGAACTCCTCTCCACTGAAAATTGCATATTTCCCAATAAACCTTAATGTATTCCATCATTGCATATTGTTTCAGTAAAGTAGGTATGACAGCGTTTGCTATGACAAAAAATCTTAATAATTAAATAATTTATTTTTTCTTTGTTGCAATAAAATAATCTGACATAAAAGAGATAAATTTCTAAGTTCTTTCAATTTTTTGCAATAACTTCAAGTTCCCAAATGAAAGGGCACATTCACCCACGATCATCGATCCCCATTCAAAAAAAATTTGCATCAACAAATTTCAGCCCTGCAGAAATTGAAAAATTGCACGTGTTTAATGATAAATGAATGAAATAAATTCTTTCAAAAAACGATGAAATACCTTTTAGGGCAACAACTTTTTACCACCCCCCTCCCCCTCTTCTTTTTTTTTCAAGCACACAATTAAAAAGCTGTTGTGAAGTATTTAGCTTTTGTCATATACAAAATTGCTTTAGTTTAATTTGGTTAACATATACCGTATAATTCCTATTAACTGCCCCTGTCCCTATAACCGCCCCAGGTCTTTTTTCAATTATCAGAAAATAAGAGCCCCCTGTACAGTGATTAAAATCATCTAGAATCGTATCAAAAGTATACCAAAATTTGAAGAATGTAAAAATGTAACTTGTCTATTATCCAATATCTCGGTGGTAATGAATCATATAGCATACTTTGGGTAGATTATCTTCACTTAAAGTACAGTTAGACATTTTAGTGGTTCTTTAAATTTTTTAAAGTTAAAAATTGACAATTTTGACATTAAATATTATAAAGAGAATATCAACATATCCGCCCCCTCTCTTCGCAATTTTCTGAGTGCCCGGGGCAGTTATCACGGTAATAGGGATTATAAGGTATAATTTTTATCAACTGATGGTTTAGATAATTTTCATCAACATTTGATTTTAATAACATTGATAATTTGCCCAAACTATAAATTATTGATATAATTAGGTTCATGTCATTATTTATGCTTTGGGTAATTAAATGTTATTTTTATAAATAACAAAAAAGGAAAAGGGTGCACAAGTTCGGAAAAATGTCCATTCCAAAGTTGTCCGTCCAACTGTTTTAATTTCGACTACATGTTTATCTGCTTTATTTTTATTTGTTTATCATCTCTAACTCATTATACAAGGTATCCATTTTCTTCCTAGATTGTCGGATTGGTAGTATTCGTATGCGTAACTATATTGTATGAGCCATATGATTTTTAAAACGAGAAAGAATTAAGAAATGGACAGTATATGGTACGTCATTAATTAACTACCAAGTGTACACGAGTTTCTCTTACTGATGATTTTTTTTTTGGGGGGGGGGTTGAATTAAATAATCATAAGTAGGAGAGAATTTAATGATTTTGGTAACATCACCAAAAAAATATCGCCAAATAAAAAAACGTACGTCCTATAAATCGTCACGTAGAAGTCAGTCCCCTTTTATTATCGTAAACCAATAGCGATTCGGCTAACATCTGTAATTATTGTTTTGTGTGGGAGGGTTTTTTTTCCGGGGGGGGGGAGTCAAGGCAAGAGTTGCAGGTCCGTAGGAAGCAATTTCAGACACTCGTAAATACTTTCAGTTCGGGGTACTATCAGGCGTTTTAATTGAGGGGACAAGAGCATATAGTAGTAATGTTAAATAGATGATAAGAAATGGCCTTTACAATGTACGACATTTTGAAGAGAAAACTGAAATCCGTTAATCCAGGGATAGTCAAAATTTATTCATTTTATGAAGTATAATTGTGTACAATGTATGTCATAGAGCTACTTTAATTCAACTGCAATATTTACAATTTAAAATCGGCTAAACTCTATCAATATATAAAAATGCAAAAAAATACATATGTTTAAAAAATGTTCTCAAATCCGTACACGTTTACTGCGAAAAAAAAATCTAGAAATCACATGACATTGAAATAGTGCCACGCTGTAAGTAAACTATGGCAATGATTATATCGGAAAATTGAAATCACGGCTGATTGCATGCTTTAGTTTTTGAGTGAATTGTTGATTAATACTATGCGAGTCATGCAGGCATACGAAAATAATGACGTCGCACCAACGTAATGTAACGTCGTTCTGAAAATACTTCTGATTAAAAATTGTAAACCTTTAAAGTTTTTTGCAAGAAATTGAGCGAGAACACATATCATTTTTTTTTATAATTCGATGCTAAAATTACTTCATATTTATTGTATCGATTAATATAAAATTCGTATGCTTCGCTTTAATGTTATGATTATGGTTTTGAAATGCGTATACCGACAGAAAACGGACATTTTACTATATATCTCATTGAAAAGGCGTCACTTGTTTTCATCAACATTAGTGTGTTTGAATTACGATAACAATCTGACCACGCAGACGAATCTCAAAATACTTTCAGAAAGAACAATTTAAAACGAGAGGAGTTAATTAGCTGACAAATTATTAGCGAATGTTTTCAGGCAGGCAGTTAACCCGCAATCTACTTTAAATATATAATATTTATAATATCAATCGCTGATGCTCGGAGACCAGTTAATTAAGTAGCTATCTTGATCCTAGTTTGGGGATTTTTTAAAGAATTTTTAAGATATGAGCCGCAACTTGGTCAACATTATCCTTTGGATATGTACAAGTTTAAATGAAAATACATATTCCGTGCGAATGAGACCAATGGCCAAGTTGCGGCTCGATGTAAACAATGTCGTTGAAAACTAGTGTGCATATGGAAAACAATAGAAATGTGACAAAACTACTAGACCCCCGTCTCAAAAGCCAGTGTCGCTCAGCATTATTTAAAAATTTCATGTATATATTATACCAAAATTTACCCTTTAGACATACATTGAAGTTCAATACCTATAAAACATAAATTTAATGAATTTTGGAATTTTATTTTGCGCAAAACATCGGAATCCAACTCTCATAGCTTGAGTGCAGTCATTCCTTTTGAAATTTTGTAGTTAAGAACTAAAAACGGTGCTTGATTTAAAACTGTTTGATTAACTGCGTATGTTTTAATCAGTAATTTTACCTGTCAGTTCTTCTATGTGTACCAACGAAAATAATCTTTTCACATCCACCTCCATGGATTTTGATTGTATTCAACCAGTACTTAACGTAATCTGAAAAAAATAACGGATAATGCACTACGAAAATTAAATTTCATGTTATAAAGACACATATCATTAAGAAATGGAGATAACTGATATAGGCAGTTATAATTGATCAGATATTGCTTTGTTAATGAAAAAAATTGACGCATGGATGAGCATATATTATTGGACCGGATTTGAATAGAAATAGCATGAATAATAAATTCCTCAAGTATTACAAATAGTATTCTTTATTGAAATAATTTTGTTTGAATTGCAGTTTTTTTTTTTTGCTAATTGTTTTTTATTCATCTGGTTAAGTATGTTTTGCTGTTAAAATTATTCTTAAAGTTTGTTTTTTCTAATTTCTAGACAAATTATTCTGAAAGATTCAAGTTCAATACCTTTTTGGCACCAATTTGAAAAAGATGTATTACATAAGTCAAGGGGTTCATTTTTTGCAGCTCCTCTTTCTTTATTTTCCCCAAATCTTTCTACTATACTTCTAGATGCATCAACAACTATTATGTATATGGCATCTTCTCGAATAAAAGTTTGATGTGACGCATAATAGGACCCCTGTCCAGCAAAATCCAGAACATCTAATACAATATTATTTTTGTTCCCTAATTGTGCCAATATACTTTCCTCCTCTTTTAACTTCCTGTGTATGAAGGGTAGAATATCCTTTTCAACTTTATCTACAGAAAAAATATATCAATCAGTTTTCAAATATTCTCACATATGTTTCTCATATATTAAATAACATTAAAATAATCTTTGGAGGGGTAGTTGCAAAAGTTGATTAGGAGTTTACGTATCTCAGTTGAATAGGCCCTAGATACAAAAAAAACTGCTCTACGTATGAATAAATTCTAAAACAAGGTAAATTATTGACAAACAAGTTGATGAAACAAAACAATCAACAGTCTTGTTTAAAATCATCATTTCGTAAGTTCTATGGTCGATCAAATGACCTTATCAGAAAATACAAGTTATCATTGAGTCAAATGCTGACTGATATTATATTAATTGTTAGTCCTTAATTGATACACAGAATTGATGACGGATATTCCCGTATTTTCCCAATCCTGACAAGGAGCACATGGCTGGTGTGACCGGTCAGCAGGGGGTGTTTACTATTCCATGGTATCTGATCCTTTCTCTGATGTTTAGGAGGTCCATGTTTGCTCTGCTCTTATTTTGTATTGTTTTATGGTCTTTTGATCTTGAATAATGTTTGTCATGTGTTAAGTGGTATTTGTTCAAATTCTAAAGACGAGTCAAAGTGGGAAACGTGAGTTTAATCTATCACTCTCTCACACACACTCAGATACCTTCCGAAACATTGGCAAGGTTTCTCATTTTTGCTGTATATTTTTCTTCAGTGACTGGAGTAGCTTCTTCGGTTACTTTAGTATTCTTTTCTACAAGAAAGTTTTAAGTTTTAATTATTACTAGGTTTACCCGTTTCTACGGAAGAGAGCAATAATACATTTTTAAAACAATTAATATTCCATGGAATGTCCAAAATGAATAAGATACTAATGCCTTCAAAATGTTTTACTTGAAAATGAAATTAATTGTAATACGTATATTATATCTTGCATAATTTGACATGTTTTTGCAGTAACATTCTTAATACGATTGAAGGAAAACAAAAAAAATCCAAGAAAGTATCACAAAGCATATAACTGTTTCAAAATGCTTGAATTCTTATAAAATTGATGAAGAATAGTGAAAGGAAGACATTCATCTAAAAAATATTAGATCTTTGCTATCTGCGTCTTTTAAAACATGTGAGAAAATCAGAAAAACAGATAAATAGTGTTACATGTAAAATATGATAACAGGTGGTATGATATATAAAAATACTTTTATTTATTAGTTACCTTTCATTTTTTCATCTGGTTCAGTCAATTCAATACTTTCATCTGTGGGAGAAAAAAAAGTAGGTGGAATTACAGTGCAGCACATAAGATCTCCTGTTTTTAATGTTGACTTTATACGTATATCCAACTAAAACACTTAAGGATATACGATCCTCAGCCAGGAAGGATAACTCTTTAATTTATAATTTAATTCAAAAAGTCTTAAAATAAAGCTTGAAATTGAAATTTTTTCATGCAACAATTTTCATTTTATGCATCTACGTATGATTCAATGTTCTTTAAAGTTTTAACAAACGGTATTTAAAAAGTTGACATTTGTACCTCATAAAATGAAGTAAAACTTGCATATTTTAAAAAAATCAAAGTTCTTTTAATTAAGCCTTAGTTACCAATGTTTATATGAATGATTTGAAATTAGAAGTGATTTACAGTGTTTTCTTAGAAAGGAAACACTTCATACACTATGCATTATGAAACAATGGAAGTAAGTAGGAGAAAGTAAAGTCCAAATAAGTGTAAAATTCATGCAATTTTCTTTAAAAGCCTGGATACCTATGATTTTTATTCCTAATATGTATTTCTTGATCAATTATCAATTAAAAAATATACAGTAGGTAGTTCAAATTGCATTTCCTGAAAAATTATTCGAGATTTACTAATTTTCCCTATATAATATGATTAAATTTAAAGATGAATTTTAAAGAAACACCGTGGGTAAATTCATTTTAATTTGAGGATTTAGAGACATCTTTGTGAGCATTTTCAATTACTCAATGCCTGATTTTCAGAACCTGAGGATCGGATAACCTTAAATCTAATTCTAACCGCTTTAAATAAACGTTTGTTTACAATAAAATTCAATAAAGACCACAGCATATGTTTGTTTTAGATCGTCATCGATTTTAAATGAGAAACTGCAACTGAACTAGAATATCCTAAGCAAACTTCGAGGCTTGTTGAGCGAATATACACCATTTCAACGAGTTGAATAAAAGTCAATATCAAATCACACAATTATGGTTGTTCTTTTTATCTCATGCGATTTTTGCTTTTTTTTTACTTTGAAGTAACTCCTTTAAAACTATTATGAACGATTTTTATTTGTATTCAAAATGATGAAGCATAATATATGATGTTGCACTGTTGATGTGGAATGGTGAAAAGAAGACTATCATGAGGTGAAAAATATTAGATCTTTGCTGTCTGCGTCTTTTAAGGGGACGAAGGATGTTTGGTCATGTAACTCAGTTGAATTACGTTATAATCTCTGATCAAATATGTACAAAACGAGATTAAAACCATAGTACTTGTATAATTTTTTGACTGTTTGCTGGCATTCACCATCTAGTATAAAAATATCTAGAAACATTAAAAATTCCTTGCAAATATTATCAAATTACGGAATAGATTAATCCACTCTGCCGTTTAACTACACTGTGCGTCCAGCGCGCCGTTGACGTCATAATAGATCTCTTAGTACAGTAACATCAAACATGGTAAAAACGAGTAGTATAAAATCATAAAAACTGGCATAATACTGTGGTTTCATCAATATTCGTTGAGCACCAATTTTCGTGGATTTCGTTGTTGAGCAGATCCACGAATTGAAATGTTCATTGAAATACGAAATATGACATTCATTTGTATAAGCAATGCTTTTGTCCACGAAATTACGTATCCTCGAAAACGTCTGTTTTATAAAATCCACGAAAATTGATGCCAACGAAAATTGATGAAACCTCAGTATGTACATGTTGGGGTATTTTGTGAATTTCAGAACGCAAAAAATATTTTTACATAGTTGTTGACGGAAATATTCTGTGGGTATGTCTTATTTCGCTTATTTCAGAAATGTGTGACAATCTTTAAAATATATCTGATTATGTTCTAGGCACCCCGATCAACCATAGGAAACTTGAATTGAAGGTCACAAACTTGCGAGATGGCAGACCTGCATTGCCTCGTCGATGTCATGTCGTGTGCAGTAAGCATATAAGTGATAGTAATATATGTCTGAAGATTTTAACATTTTAAATTAAGTTACAGTATAAATTTATTATAAATCTGTTATCAACTGATCAATGTACTATGCTTGTTTCCGCTACTGTTCAACAGAAGATATAAATTTATCATTTCCTTGTGCTTGTCAGTTTAATAAATAATAATATGTCACAACAATAACATTTGATGTATATTATTACAACAAGTTTTATTACTTACTAGCCTTATTTGTTAAAAACATAACAATTATTAAAGTTATTAGAAAATTAAGGTGTTCCGCTGGGGGTACAAATCAAAAGGTAAAAAAGATAGGATACTGTATATGGAATATCTCATCAATAATGTTGAAACAATTGTCTGATAAGAAGGGGAAAATGAAAAAATGAATGTTATTGTCCAGAAAATATTTATATTATCGTTTTTTTCTGTATTTTAGGGTAAAAAAAATGTTTATTTATTTACTTTATGTATAATACAACTTTTATAACAGGACATGTTACACTGCTATACATGTCGTAGCTAAAATCCATTTATTTTGGGAGGAAAACTCTTTCATTAATTTATACATGTAAATCAATACTTCAAATACAGATGAGATTGGTTGTTTAATCTTATATCCAATGTCCATTTTAAAAGATAGTGTAAGGGATGTTCATGTTTAATTCTTAGGAGGAAACAACCTTCCTTTACCCAGGAGTAGACTAGAAAAAAGACTTAAGATCAGAATGCAGGATGATTGTGCAAGAGGTGCTGGCACATGGACGATTGAGGCACATGTATAATAAATATGGACAGGACAGTTTTTCAGGGCTACAGTTGAAATTGACACCCTTATGAACACCATTTTCTCAAGGAGTGTCAATTTCAGCTGTTACCTTAAATAAATGCACTGTTTATATTATCATACGTGTACTTAGTGTCTTATAGTTGAATACACAGGGTTGAAAATTTATATCCCTTGGCCACCCTTTTTATGGAAAAATCTTTGAATCCTTACAGTACCTTTATGGTTTTCTGGTTTGTAAGTTTGTCGTCTGACTTGAAAAATTGTGTACATCCTATAAACATAATGCATGCCCCCAAAATGTGGCTACCCATATATTAGGAAATATTGAAAGAAAAAAAATAAACTCATTGGTTTTATCGGAGCAGCCCCCAATTAGTCGACCGAATTAAGTAGCGAAATGTCATTTCTTTACCATTTGACCTTTTGGTTGACCCTGCAAAGGGATATAACTATTACAAAGTGTGGATTGAAATTTGTTTTCAGATGTCATAATTTAAATTCAGAGGTCGTCATAAAGAGCCAAAGTCAAAAAGAACACAAATTGGCCTGATTTCAAAATAGGACAATTTTGCCTCTGGATATATCTACAGACTATATATTTTTTCAAAACAACTTTCTGTTTTCAATATCTCTTTCATATATTCCGTAAGAGGTCTTTAAAATAGCATATGTATATGACTGTATATGGCCAAATTTCATACATTTTACGGAACGTGATAATGACGTTGTGAATTTTAACATTCTGAATTATAAATAAAGTGGTAAATTATTTATTATAGGATTAAACGTTCTTTTTGACAAATGTATCGATGTGTAAACTCTTGACATTTTACTCATAAACAAAATAAAAGTGCGAAGATATCTGGTGTTTTTTTAAATCATACATATAAAGAAAACGGCCGGGACCGGCGACCGACTTCGACATAAGCGGGGTATTCGAGATATCCCATGTTCGAGATACTGATATTTACCTGTATCTATATATATATATATATATATATATATATATATATATATATATATATATATATATATATATATATATATATATATATATATAGAAAGCACGGAGAAATTCACTTTTACAAGGATACTCACTTCCGCCAAAGCCCGGGGTTGAACTCTCGAACTACGGAATCTGTCTCCTAGCAGTGCAGGAAGAGCGCGTTAGACCGCTCGGCTATCATAGGCAAGTAAAAAACTTGCTTTCGATGCCGATGGAATTCTCACAACGCTGCCCTACACTACACGGTCAAATATATATATATATATATATATATATATATATATATATATATATATATAATCTTGAGAAGTTCGTTATAAAAGAAGTTAAACTATATTTATCCTTAACGGGACTCAAAATCAGTTCTTATATCCATAAGTTCATTATATCCGAGTTCGCTATAACCATAAAATTTTATGAAGATTTGTTAAGAATTTTGCTGGGGACCTAGAAGGACTTTGCTATATCCGTGAATTCGCTATATCCATGTTCGTACTAAACGAGTTTTACTGTATTTACTTTGAATTTAAATTAATGATTGGGTTATGCCTTTCTGCTTCATAAGCAATATTGATTAACGCAAGGATGAAACAGAAAGAGAAAAACGATTTTAGTATTTCAACTTCCATCACTTTACAGAAATTATTTCATGTTTTCTTCGGAAATACATTTAGTAATTTCAGCAGCGAAAACATAGACTTTGTCATTATTCAAACTAAGGGATACATATGTTGTTTACGCATTTATTCATTTACATGTACATACTGCCAAAAATTCAACTCTGTTACTTTAATCCTTTATGAGCGGGGGTATCATAATTTGTCAGCTCAGTGCTTACAGTGCTTAAAGTTTTATTTTGAAAAGACGTAACAGAAAGGAATATACATGACTGAATAAATCAAACGGAACTGTAACAGCAATCTACTAAAGCTTTTCCTCGGAGCACTGTTGGTTTGTTCTGGCATAGGAAAGCTTTTTCGATATTTTTTTCCTTTTGAGAGAGAATTGTCAGATTTGCTTCAAGAACTCATTGTCTGATATTAATTTTTATAAATTGCAATGTAAGAAATAGTACATTGTACCATATACGCTACATGTATCTTTAATCAACCGCAGAAACAACAAGAGTCTAAAATTAATCTTAGGACTTCTGATGAAATGACAACTTTAAGACTACTGAGTATTTAGGCAATCAGCCTTTTTTCAATATTCAAAGATACAAAGTTTTCAGTCAGCAGATGAAAAAAG